AATGTATTCACTATTGGTTATAAAATCTGTAGTAAGTAAATGTCTAAAATGTATATGTGTGTATGTCTTTATGTATGTTTGTAAAAAAATAAGCAGCTATATAAGAATTACTGATCAGCAATAGTTGTATACATTTATACTTATAAATATATACAGACTTGTCCGTGTTGTTTGATTTTGATATATAAATAGCAAAATAGTGTGAAATTATTTTAAAGAATTCTTAACAAAATCTACCATATGATTTCAAAATTTCAAACAAAAAAAAACATACTACAAAGTATGTCAAATTATATACACATGTATCTCCAAATGTTGCAAAGACTAAATTTATGCATATGGTATATACATAGTACATACATTGAAAGCATTTTTTCTCGACCTTAAATTAAATCCAAGTTGTCTAAATAACAAGAAATCAAATTAATATTAAAGCACTCAACAAGAAATAATTAGATTATATTAAATAACCCACCAATAACTAGAAAACGAGTACATACACGTGCGTGTGTGTGTGCATGAAAATTGAAAATTGAAAATTGTAGTTTTTATTTCTTTTGTAAGATGTGGTTTGATTTCTTGCTGCTTTAACCTAGGGGCTATGCACTGTATTCCGAAGACTGAATACGCTATAATGCAGTCATGTCAGCCCGTTGTCATTTCGGCATTCGGCATTCGTGCTTCTTTAGGAAAATACATCAATATTGTTTAATTCACATGTGCACATTGTCTAAAGTAAGCTAAATCTATAGTGTACAGATGTGTGCACTATAGAACCACCGATACAGGACCTGCATACATAGCATAAATGTATCAACTACCGACTAACGGAAAATAATCATGATGTAATATGATATAATTTTCAAATTTTCTTTTCGCCAATGCTTAAGAAATAATTCAGAAAAATAAGATGACCTATTGCGAATGGTTAGAACGTAAGGCCTAAGCAAATCAACAAAACTGATTTCAACTAGGTTTGTACATATTATAGTCATTCAAATTGAGAGATTCCTTAACTTTTTCTGTTCTTTAGGTTATGTCCCTTAATGGTTGTTAAACAAATCAATTTACATACATAAATATAGTAAAAGTAAAGTAAAGTATATAAGTATATACATACATATTTATTTGTTTGACAACTCGAAAGGGACAATAGCCAAAAAAATATATTGTGGTTGTGCGTAAAAATTATATAATGATAGTCCATAAAACAATGTACATTTATGTCTAATTACTCTAGCAATCGAATAATATAAAATAAAGTTAAGTATAACTGATCAAATTACCACTGTCAGCTAGGTTTGCACAATCTAAAAACCAATATGAGTACATGAAATACTTGAAAAAAAAAGAAAAGAAAAGAAAAGAACTAAATGGACTTGTGTTTGTGTTTTGCTTTACTATCAAGTGGAATTTTACACAAGAACAAGAATCGAGAAACAATAAATGAATAAAAATAATATGAAGCTTCCGCTATTATTAACATATCTGTAAAAAATATTTATTTCAAAGCTGTGTCGTCATTCAATATACATTTTGTATATGATCCAATTAGTTTTATGTTAAGAAAGATTTTACTTTTATAACTGACAAATTCAACAAATAATAACAAATAACCAGACCGACCACTTTGTATGCTAAACAATTCAATTCAACTGAAATTATACTGATTTGTGTGTGTTCCAATGCGATCGATCCGTTTGAATGGACTAAGTATGTCAAACATTGATATATGTTTTACTTAATTCATCTGGTCACTTCGCCATATTATACAAAATGTAATTTACCTAAGTCGACTGAATCAGTCTCAAACTCAATACCTATGTAACAGTATCAGAATATAAATAATGTATTTGCATCTATGTGTGTGTGCGTGTAAAATATTTTAAAATATACGAATAAAATTTGTGAACAACATTCAAGAATTGTTTTCTCTTCGATTGGACTTTGATTTTAAACGTTTCCACTTATCTATCTTTCTATGTACTAATTAATGCATCATAATGAGTTTATTTTACATCGTTTCGAGTCCAAAAATTTGTATGAAGATAAAGATAAAGAATTTCGGTTCTTTGGTCGACTGGGTTAACCATATATCGTATGGATGGGACAGCCAGTAGAATTATTGGTAGCCACTAAATTTCTGTCGATCAGGTCCACCGTCGACTTCTTCGTTTTTGTTCGGGTCCAAAGCTCGCTCACTGGCTCAGAGGCAAGAGAGTTAGTCTTAGTGCTCTCAATGCTCACTCATTAATTTCTTAAAACCCTTTAAATTGTGTGTGCGTGTGCCTCCACAAGCAACAATGCGCACAAATTGAATTTTTATCAATTTTCGGCCGCATTTCATCCCCTTTGACGGGACGAGTAATATGAAACAATGAAAGGATTTGCCACGCCAATGCGCAATTGTTGCATTTTAGATAGTCATTGTGTTGCCTGCCTTTCTAAAGCAGTTTGCCAAGACTTGAAGGTTTGTGGGATTTCTGAATCTGAATGAGCAGAAGATCAGGATCAAAAACGAAGTCGTCGGTGGACCTGATCTACAGAAAATTATTGCCTACCAATTGTATCAGTCCCAAGTACAAATATGTTGAATGATTAGTATTCAATGGCCAAGAATATAACTTGTACAGATTTCAACCGATTCAAATACATTGGTTGTATTGACTTTTGGCGCACATCTTAACTGTGAAAATTCACCTTAAAAATTGTCACTTAATAAGCCTCAGCAAGTTCTTCAAACAAAGCATTTTTAAAGATGCATGATAAATTTGCACCTATTCGGTTGAGCATTGGATAAGTGCTTCCCCTCTAAAATCTTTGATTTTTGATATTTCTGAGAAATATTCATATTCTTAAATCCTAGAATGTTGTAACCACTTAAATAGTTAAGCCTATAATTCAAGCTGCAGTTTCTTATAATTATTTATCCTGGACATGTAAGTCCGTGTCAGATAAAGTGTTAACATTGAAAGCGGGATATATATCTTTTAAAATATAAAAGTAATTATTTTCGTCTAGAAATTTGGGATTAAATACGGGGTGGGCCTCAAATCGAATTTTCACATTTGTAAGAAGCGTAGGACGACCACCAAATTCCGAGTTTGAAAATCAAAAACTATTTTTACAACTCATTTCAAATGAAATGCTCAAAACGACTTTTATCAATTTAGCTCGAGAGACCATAGTTATAGACGTTTTTTTTTTCACCTTTTCAGCATTTTTGATCTGACAATTTGTTGTAAACGCAAATTCAGTAAACCTCTGTTCAAAAGTTTTTTTTATAGCTTTTCTTAAGCGAATCGATCATTTAAATTGTTTTGGGCAAGTTATGCTGACAGCTGTGTAAGAACTCACCTATCGGAAGGGCTAATAGAAAGCTAAAGCGCCTCCAAAGGCTAAACCCCATACCCTACAGTATAAGGTCATGTCCCTAATTCCCTATATTGTGAATATCCCACCACTGGAAATACCCCTCAACGTAAATATCATTTAAGCTAACAAGCATTATGGTTGGTTACAACTTTACCTTATATCACAGCCTTCCGCTTGGTAGATTAGAAGGTACTCTGATCGATTTGAGCGCATAAAAAAACATATTGTATTCTAAAACCAATTAAAGATTTTGCTCATACATAAGGAACATGATAGAAGGCGTAAAAAGAGTTTTTTATGAATTTTATATATATCCCGGCTCCGATACATGCAACATAAAAAAACAGACCTATATCAAGGTTTAAACTGTGGGATTTGTTTGCATAGAAACAGAAGAAAATAAAATGATTACACCCCCAATAAGGGTACAAGATTAAGACCCTGAACCCAGGGGCGATCTGCAGTTACATTTCGAGCGTTCTTCTATACATAAAGATATTTGAAGACCAGAAGACTCAAGAGAGTGCACCCGCTGAAACTTACCAGGGACATTCCAAGGGATCTTCCCAGGGATTTTCCCAGGGACTTTCCCAGGGACCTTCCCAGGGACATTCCCTTTATAGTTCTTAAGATCGACGCCTTCAGCTATACAAATTCTTCTTCACCTTTAACCCATTACTCCATTTACTCATTGCCAACCCATTGGCTCAGGGTAAAAACATTTTACAATAAAAACAAAGCCGATCCCCGTTTGGAGTTGGGTATGTAAATATTTAAGCATACATTACTTAATACATTCTTTCATACATTCTTTCGAATACTCCTTTTCTTTCAGATTTCTTAAGCAAATAGCTGCCAACAAAATAATGCATTATAAATATACTGGCTGGTATTTCCCGGCCTTACCTGGTCTAAATTCTTTCCTTCAAACTGTAGACATCGATTTTCCAATCATGTGGAACTCCACGTACAAAGTTATATTTTACATAGATATTTGAAAATCAGTTATCCAAGAGAGATGCATTTTGTGAAAAGTAAGCAACACGTATCAAATAGGCTTTCTAAAAAGTCTTTGGAAATGATTTTGAAGCTGATTTAAAGTTAAAAAACTTCACAACCATTTAATGTCAAATTTTCTATTTTTGCGGGTGGAATTTCCAAAAAAAGCTGAAACACGTAATCATAAAGTTTTTATAATTAAAATAAGATTGAAGCCAATCGGTCAAAAGTTAAAACTTCGCCCAACAAATCTTAGAAACGCATTTTCCAAAGCTTGGGTACTGCATCAAATCTATATACATATACAAATGATTTCTATGAAGATTCTTGGAAATAAATTTGAACCCGAAGGAGGAATGGATTTTCGCGGATGAAATGATTTTAAGCAAAGATCTCTGAAAATAAAAAAAAGTGTCGCACAATCGTTTTCGCGAGTTTTCCACACTTACGAGTGGAATTGCCCAAAATATAGAGATATATAGAGATACATGTGACTCGTCGTTATATGATTTTATTATTCTCTTTGAATTTATCAGACTAACACTAAAATGTTACATCGATTGTTTCTACATATAAATTCGAATCATAGGTTAAATACAATCAGCACATAAATATCTATTTCATAATTTTTTATTTGTTTTTTATTTTATTTAATAATTTGCATTCATTTTATTTAACTTAATGAGTCTTATACTAGGGAGGTGTTCGAAATGAATGGTTGGCCTTGGCGTGGTTATAATTTGTAGAATTGAATAATAAGTTTCGTTGCAATTCTTTTCGATTATATTTGTATTCGTAAGGTATTCTTCTCCCCTCTGGAGAGTGATAATCTATGGTATCTTTTGGCTTAATAATATTTGAGACTTAATCATAGATGAACTGGAAATTCTTAACTTTTTAAGTACCACACGTAGCCGAAGTAGAATTTCTTATTTTAACCTATGTACAAAAATGAAGTTGAGCTGCTTTACTCTCGGAAAATATGAATCTTTGCTATCCTCATGTTTATCATTATTATTTTAACCTACATGTACAATAAATCAAGTTGGGTTACATTTGTTTTATCTCTCAGGAAAAAAACCTTAATCTGTGTCCTCATCAAATTGGAAATTGGGAGTTGGGAATGACCAAATTAATTCAAGACTCTATTTAAATTAAATTTAATTAGAACTTTATAAACAACTTAACTGAACATTAATTACCAGCAAGTACTTTTCGAGAGACAAGAACTAAATTGAAGCGTGCTATTTACAAATTTCATATATATTAATTAAAATATTCGAGCTTATATCAGGATCATTTCTTGGGTTCTTCTCAATATTCGCTAGTATTTTGTTCAAATAATATTGTATGTAAGAAATGATTGTTTTTAGTGTTTATCGATAATTTACTTTAATCCATACACAAAATATTTTGACTTAAGAAAACTCTCTTTGAGATGACTAATTCTTGCATTGATTCGTTGTGTTAGAAAAGAGGATGACTGTAGGATGACGAATGGAAGGGATGCTGAAATACTTGAGATTGGGCATTGGGATGAAAACTAGAGCCCGTTCCCGTTCTCGTTCCCGTTCCCGTTCCGGCACTCATTGGGGGCATCGGGGGTGGGGATGTTACGGACGGTGTGGTAGGTGGCGTTAGGTTCTGACCCATTGTTGATTCGGTCAAATTGAAGTAGAGGGATGAGCTTGGTGCCATTTGTGGCAATAGCATTGGTGGGTTATCCATAGACGGTTTACTACAACCGGCAACTGTATGTGCTTGTTCTTCGCAAACATGCGCGACAGCCACAGCAGCCGCCGCTGCGGCCTTTGAAAGCAGATCTGTTGGCAAATTAAAGATTGAAGATCACTGAAGTCGCGGCCAATAATTGCTGCCTGTCAAATCAGAGACATTTTGAGTCGATATTTGTACAGGTACCGAAACGCCAGCAGATATTACACCTGAAATCAAAAACAAATCGTTCGTTAGTTAGTTAGTTTGCTGTGAAAACAGATTTCAACACCTGTGCGCTTACCTGTATTGGCTGTGCTTACTGCGGAGCCGTTGCCATAGACCCCATGTTGTGGTGGCTGCTGGTGAGCTGCTGCTGGGTTGCATGCTGTGTTCCGAGGGTGGGCACCATAGGGAGATCCCAGGGATAGGGGATCGTGAAACATATATGGATAACTATCCCTTTGTTGCAAGCATGTGGGCGTCATTGAACTTAATGATGACGTCATAGAGCTGTTCGAAGTAGAAACATAATAAAACAATCACCAAATTAATACTTTTCAAATTTCTAAGATAAGTTGATTTAGCGTGAAAAAGTGCGAAACACGTGTCAAATACATTTTCACAAAGATCTCCAAAAATCAGCCATTGGTAAACAAGAAAGCTTTCCACTTTTCACCAAATTTCCACAATTGCGAGTGGAATATCCAAAATCGCTGAAACACATTTTCATTAAGTTCTTATTCCACCAAGGAGGGGTGGATTTTCCGCAAAAGTGTGAAACAAGTTTCAAATTCATTTTCTAAGAGATCTTTGCTAATGAGCTTACACCCGGAACTTAGCCGATTTTCCATCCGGGAAGGGTGGATTTTCTGAAAAGTGTGAAACATGTCCCAAATGCTTAACGTTAAATCAAATAATCAATAGGCTCTTATGTAAGGATCTCAAATGAATATGAGTAAAGATCTTTGAAATTTCCAACAATTTTCAGCCTCCTAGCTCGAAATATTTGGACTGTGGATTGATCAGTCAGACACAGAGTTACATGAATAGAAGACTTACTTGTAGCTTTCTGCCATGGTTGCGATTGGTTGCGGGATCGATGAGTACATTGTGTTGAAACCAGTGTTTAAGGGTAAGCGGGGTGCTACGGCCTGCAAAGGTGGGCTATCGGAGTTGGTATGTGCATTGCCAGCATCGCCGCCGTGTATCTGGAAGTGGGAGAAGTATGGTGAGCATACTCGATATTGTCTTCATATATATGGTATGTATGTATTACTGTCGGCCCATTTGAGGATTCAGCTAGGTTGTTGTTGTTGTTGTTGCCTGCGTGAGCTGCCGATGCTCCCTCTGAAACAGCGGAGCCTGCAATTCCGGGCGTCGAGCTGTTTGCCGTGGTACCATTGGCAGGGCCAGTGCCTCCGGAGGGATTATTTGTGCTTGTGCGGCCGCTGTTGCCACCTCCAACATTTTCGACTGAGCGTCTTTGAGTGCGCAGCTTTTCCTCCCGACGCCATTTGGCTCGTCGGTTTGAAAACCAAACCTAATTAAAAGTTTGTAAATACTTATTATATATGCTATTTAATGTATCAGTGTCTAATGTATGCGAGCGCTAAAAGTAGAACTTGAAAACGTATTTACCAAATAAAGCTTACAAATGAGCACAGAACAAAAAAAAAAAACAAACAGGCTTTAAGTAGAAACAAGTCAAATTACTACAGAAACTAATCGATTTCGTACTTAAAAGCTTAACACGCAAAATATATTAACAGTAAATTCCTAAATGCATTCGAAAGTACGATGATGATGATGATGATGACCATCTTGCTATTATCTATGTATATTATTTTTGATCACAAGTTTTTGACCCCAGTCCCATTAGGGCTAATCCAGACACAGACTGACGACTGACTGCTAAAATATCTATGAGATACTATACTATATCTATGAGATGCTTAAGTTAGATTAAAGGCTTTAAGACTAGTTGGCGAATAAATAGTCAGACAGACAGACAGACAGACAGACAGAACGAGAAGCTCGTTTTCCCGATCAGGATGAATGTACCTACTTTAGATAGATAAATACCTTCTGTAACATTAAAATCTTTAAGATACTTTCTGTAATAACATAAGAATCCTTAATATTCTTTCTGTACTGACATGAGAATCTTTAAGATATTTCCTGTAATGACATGCGAATCTTTAAGATAATTCATGTAATGAAATGCGAATCTTTAAGATTTTGCGTGTAATAACATAAGAATCTTTAAGATATTTCCTGTAATGACATGCGAATCTTTAAATAACTTCCTGTAATGACATAAGAATCTTTAAGATACATACTTCCTGTAATGACATAGGTATCTTTAAGATACTTCCTGTAATAACTTAAGAATCTTTAAGATACTTCCTGTAATAACTTAAGAATCTTCAAGAATTTTCCTCTAATAACATACAAATCTTTACGATACTTCCTGTAATGACATGAGAAAAGAAGATACTTCCGACAATTTTTGGCAACTTTGACTTTTTTGACTTTTTTTCAATTTCAATAATCTTTACCTCAAGGGAAAGCTAATACATATAGCATATATTAATTAGAATTAAAGAAAATGGGATATTTCTTCAACAAATGCTTACTTGGAAAATTTATAAAAATTAAAAAACATGTCATTTGATAGTATTCATTTTTTCATTAATTATTGTGCGTAGATTGAAACTTCAAAAATCTGTTTTCGAGCAACCCAACTTTATGGATTGGAATAGCTTCAAAAAAAGAAAATGCTTTCCATACAACGATTGGGTCGACCTCGCTCAGTTTTTGCTATCCTAAATATGTTCAATGCAATGGTCGTGTGGTAAGAAGTAAGTTTTATTGTAACATTGCTAATTGTTTTCATACCCTCAACCACCCGAAAATCTGTGAAAAATAAATGTTATTGTGCAAAGCATCTCCGATCCAATAAAGTATATAGATTCATGTCCGTCTGTCTGTCCATCTGTCCGTCCGTCTGTATGAACGCTGCATTCCCAGAACCTATAAGATCTAGAAATAGCTTCAAGCATACGGAGGGACAGACAGGCTAACGTCTGTTTATGTGATGATATTTTAATTCATTTTTTCTCATCGAAAATGAGGCATGGCTGTCAAGTAGAGACGGTGGTATGTAATAAGGTCAGTTAAGGTTCGATTCCGATTAAAAGAACTTTTTTCAACATTTATTTTTGTTGTTGCTATAATTCATTTTTTAATTGAATTTTTTTTGTTGGAGCTCGTAGCGCGTATCGTAGGGTATCCCATGGTAAGGAACTTCTGACTTGAGCCTCTTACTTGTTGATATATATTTTAAATAATGATTTTGTTTAACTTGTTTTGGCTACTGGTAAGTTGGGCACTTATAAGTTCCTACTCCTTACAAAAGTTATGGCGAATAAAGTCACCCAGCACCCAAAAATGGCAAAAACAAAAGTTTCAAAATTTAGAAAATAAGAAAAAATAAACCTTGCCTACGAAATATGTATGGCAAGACACTTCGGTTATAGGGCCCTCAAATCGATCAAAAATAATCGGTTTCATCAAACGCAGTTACATTAAACTTTGCTTCGAAAATTAACCCTCAAAGTTTGGACTCAATAATTGGATGTATCTTACCATATTTGGCAGGTACCAACTTAAGGTGTCCCGCAACTTCTGTTTGAAAATATGTACTACATGCAATATTTTCAGTAGAACCCGAAAATGTAAAGGTTTGATTCCAAACTTTCAAACCGGGAGTCACTTCGAACCGTAAACAGACAGAATCGATTTTTTTTTTGGGATTATAGCCGTGATGAAAACATTTGGCATATTTAACGCAAAGGCAGCAGCAGCAGCAGTTGCTGATTCTCATTTTCACATGAACGTCATGACATTTATAAATGCTCCAGACCCAAATTCGTTCCATTCGCCTCAACGACAACAGCAATAAAACAATAAAATCATGAATAAATGTTCGCTTTTGGAGGCCGATAATCGAATACCCTTCTATTGAATGCATTTCCATACTTAGCCATATCGAAAACTAATTTGAAAATATTCCGAAAATCGAGTACGAGTACTTTAATTTCGAGCAAAAGTTTCTATGGGCAGTTGATGACATAATTGGACATGGATAATTGCAACTATATTTTGCCTTTTAATTCAGGCCAAGTACGTCAACCCGTTCAAAAACGGGTCATTAAAACGAACTGCTGTACTTGTTCAGTAATAAGTCAACTAAATGAATCATTTTCATCTGTATTCCCTACTTGTTCAGTCTGTGGCTATATAGTAGGTCATTCGCATGAAGGACAAATATAATTCATTATTAATCTATTCAGTTCGACTTAATCAAATATGATATTATAAGTTTTTTCAATAACACATAATATTATATTAATTTATGTATATATAAAAATGCTGTTTATGTATAAAATTAGAAAGTTCGACATTTATTTCTATTCTATTATTGAAAAAAATGTAAATATATTATATATTAAATCGGCTCGATCGAACAATTGATCAAATGAAATAATAGGTCTAGAAAATGTATACAATTTAATGAACAATTCTTACTAGATGTCCACAAGCTGCTATTCAAGAATATAAGGACAGACATTTTCGGCTTGGGTGACATTTCAGAACGTCGCTTACTTCTTGGCAAAATCATAATGCCCCTTGGCAAGAGTATGAGTATAAACATAGCCGTTTTGGACGTGTAATGAAGTCTAAGCTTATCACATCAGTCGAGAGACCCTTTGGCTTTGGCTGAGCTTATTTATGTACTGTTGACAAAGGGGTGAATCTGAGGATTACAATATTTGTTGTGCCTTCATATTTTCATCATGACATTTATTATTTTGCGTTGTTGCAGCCGCGACAACCCATCAGTTGGTGTGTGCTTGACAAAACACTTCAACTTCAGTCGACTCAATGTGAAAATCACAAGTAGTTTCAAGTGTTTTTACAGTCAAACTGTTTTTATTCACTTATACAAATAATCGTAAGCCGAACGAAACAAGTATTAATAAAAATAAAAAAAAAATGCATTAATAACAAATTTTAGCAGGGGTGCATATTGAGGGTTGACATTTGGCTTCCGCCGACTCGTCTGACTCGCGTGGCTAAAAGGCATAGCAATCACTTCGAACAAACGAACAATCGGTTACAAAATTCACCACCCCCAAGGATGGAAGAATTCAATTTGAATTCTGGGGGTTACCCAGTGAAGAATTCAATATTATTTCTCTAGATGCCAAGCACTGTTGAGAATTCTGCCTGCCTACTTATATAAAACTAAAGCACGTAAGGCAACAGAAAAATAAAAAAAGTGAAAATAATCGAAAATAGAGCTAAACCGAAAAATAATTAAACAAAACGGAAAGACAAACCTGAATACGTGCCTCTGGCAAACCAATTTTTTCTGCAAGCCTCTCCCGTGCGAAAACATCCGGATAATGCGTCCGTTCGAATTCTATCGTAAATAGAAAAAGTATAAAAGTTAAGCAAATATATGCAAATTTTTGTGTGCCTATAACATATATACAGAGTTATCTATTCGAGATCAATAACCTTTTTCCAAGCTGTCTATTTGCTCGTTTGTAAATGAAGTCCGATTTCGCTGTAATTTACGTTTCAGTCGTAGACGCATTTGCGAGTCCTCGTCGCCGGAAGAATTGTGATCAGAATTGCCATCTGATGTACTCTCATGTGAATTCGGATGCGACAGATCACCTGGATAGAGGTCTGAAATGGAACATACAACGATTCAATTTTACTATGTGAACATATTAATGTAATACGATTTGCAAGCACAGTCACATACCATACTATAAAGTCACCTTTAAAAATAATTGAACTATACCATAGATAAAAATTGCCTTTTTGTGATCTCAATCAAAAAATAAGCTTACAGCTAGAGATGTCCCCGTGACACGAGCTGAGTTTTGTGGTCAAATATTTCTACTCTCTTTTCATGCAATATTGCGCTCAAAACTATGCAACATTTCATGAAACATTTAACTTATATCAATTTTCAAGATTCTAAATTGCCTATGTGATAAGAAATTAAGCAGAAATGGTTAGTATAAGAACGTTAAATATTGCTCTATAGAAAAATATATAAAAATACAACTTAATTGTTTAGCTTAAGGTAGTCCAATTGTATTTGCTAGCTCCAAACAATAGTTAACATATGTATATGATATAACTTATGGCAATTCGATAGAATTCGCCAACAAATCAGAACTATTCCTAAACAGAGAAGGGGAATAGTTCTTTCCAATTTCGCCCGATAATCTGTCATTTTCTAGGTGAGCTAATGACAAGAATTTTTGTACTCGATTCTATACAACAAAATTCGTAACGTTTTGAGCGAGAATTGAGCTAAAAAATTTTCAGTTAAGGTTAATTCGTCCGTGTTGTCTAAAACTCCAACCGCAACTGTGGAAAATTGTCAGAAAATAGTGTGAAACTCATTTGGCCAATATTTCGCTAAATTCTCACAGTTACTGGAGGAATATTATAAATCACTGACCCAAGTCTAAAGTTTCGCCCAAATAATGTTTGATCCACCATCTGCACGAAGGAGACTTGCATGTGGCGAGTGTGAACAACCTCTCAAAGGACTATTTAAGGAGCTTTGCAACTAACTTGAACTGAAAACTTCGCTCATTCATAGTTAGCGAAAAGTGCGACACAGGTAAAAAGATCTTGAAAATGAGTTGGAGACCATTCCGTGATTTCCGACTATTCCATACTTGCGAGTGGAGTTTCCGAAAGCCTCGACTTAGCTTGCACCTTCATCTCATTAGGTAACTACTCTACACATTTCTTTCAGTGCATTAATCGCCAATCAGTCAGTCAGGCAGTCAGTCAGCCAGTCGGTTAGTTAGTCTGCAGAGTTTTATATATAAAGCTAGGGTGAAATTGTCGTATCAATGCACAGGTAACCAAGTAGGTGCGAATGAAGTAAGCTATATAGAATTCGATCTGGGTTCAGGGCAGTTATCGCTCTTGTAAGACCCAAAACCAAATCAAATTTTCTATTCAAACTAGCATATCTGATTTGAGTTAGCCCTGATTAAGCCATAGGCAATGCAGTGGCATTTGTAAAACCAATTCGCTGATTGCTTTTCCTTATCTTTGCAGAACATTTGCCTCACAAATACGCACACACACACACACACACACACATACACACATACAATATGTGTGTAAGTACTTGGCCTGTCACAAGGAAGCATATTTTGGTGAGTGTGCGAATCCGTACCAGGAGGGGTTGGGATGGGCTGGGATGGATGCTACTTATTGGGAATGGGACATATGTCAGCCTTATTTATTGATCGCAGAATAAACATAAACAATTGAAGGCAGCAAACCGACTACATGGGCGAAATTACGCTCCTCAATTAGATTTAATGGCAAATAACAAATGACCAACAAATTAACTGTTTGTTGTTGCCCTGTTTTGATGTTTGATCATCTGTGACCAAATGTTTTCAATGTTCGAATGCCCTAGGGGTTGTTTTTCTTTCTTTCTTTCGCTCCTCTGATGACAACTAATACCCCATACGTCATTTAGAGTAATTCCGAAATTGTATCGAAATGATTTTGGATGCTTGATTAAAATCTGTACTCTTTTTGCTCTGATATGTTAACTTGATGTTGCCTCAATTCAATTAAGGACCAAACTTAACAATTAATGCTCATAGGTATAATTACAAATTTACCCATGGAAATCGTGAAAATATGTTTAAGCACTCAGTGAAAGAATAAAGAAAATCAATCAAGTACAAGCATTATCCTGAGAACGAAGTTCTTGATTAAGAATTTTCAGTTAAACGATGTACGAAAGAATATACAGTGCAACCTTATCACACAGATTGACGGACGACCAAGAATATATACATATACATATATACGTCGCCTCCTTCTGCCTGTTACATATTGTTTGTACGCAACTAGTCTTATATCATTTTTACCCAATTTCCATGGGTTGATGATAAAATATTAACGAAATTAATCTTCATAATTAGTCTTTTGTTTTTGCTAACAGTGATGGATGATTGAATATTTAATGCAGCTTTGTACATATTGAAAAGTAGGCAAAATAAATGAGACTTTGAATTTAAATTTGAATTTGGCTAACTTACCGCGCTTTTGAGCCTCATCTCGGTTTATCTGTCCAGATAGATTCGTTGGCACCGCCGTGGGCGTGGGTGGCAGTGCCAAGTGCGCCGTCGTCGTATTTCCCGGGTACCAAGCCCATCCGCCGGATTGTCCATTAAACATTCGTAACTTTTCATACACGGACTCGTTTTGCTGCTGGGCCTGCTGCTCCTTCTGCGACGCTAAATTGCGCAGCACCCGATTAATAGATGAAACCTGCAATTAAAGCCAAAGCATAAAGCAGTGCATTTCCTCACATTATTAATTCAAGTATGCACAATAAAGCAGTGCGCGAGTATGTGTGGGTGTGTGTGTGTGTGTGTGTGAGTGTGTGTGTGCGCGTGTTTGCAGAAGCATGTCGCTATTTCTACCCCCAAATACTAATGCAGTGCAAGATGCTGCCATTGGCTATGAGTTACAGCCAATCACGAGCTGCTGTCCAAGAGCAGGACAGCAATACTCGACTCTGTAGAGCATTTTATATAGCGTACACACGCATGTTAAAACACTTTTACAAATAAGGCTTACATCCTTACACACAGTTGCCAAGTTGGCCATAATAGCTTTCATGCTACACATGTATATACCATATATATATGTATGAATTCAAGTCTGCATAAATACATAAACATAATTAAGAACACGCTTAGATAAATATGTCTGAATGAGAGTATATTTGCATTAAAGGGATTGCTTTTAACAGGAGTGGCCTAATCAAGAGTGCCTGACTAGCAGTTACCATGTTCGCTGCTTCTAAATGTCGTAATTAGAGATGGCATCGGACCGCGAATCCTCTAGGATTCCCGCGGGTCCCGCACGTGTACTATTTATTGTATGAGTGCTACGATTCTTTGCACTTCTACCAATTTCTGTGTTTTCTTTATATGTGGCATAGACTGGATCAAAATTTTCTTTGCCGTGCCAATCTCCGGTCTAAACATACATTTGAATCTAAATATGTAAATACTTACAGAAGACTCATATACTTGTGACTTGGGTGGAATTCGTGGGTTAACTGCTCTCAGACTCTGTTTATCATCAGCTTAATAATCAAGAAAACTTGACTCGACTGGTTTTATTGCTCCCCCCGACGTATAATTTATACTTGTTGTACCCTGTCCTAGCGAAATCGGATAGAAGAATCGCCCTGGAACAAATCGATGCCTTGATATATCGAAATATTCGACATTGATTATTCCCTTAAATCTGTCAATTGTTAAATGAATATGTTAACAACATCAGTTTTCTATATCATATAGCTCTATAGGAAGAATCGAACGAAATGAACGATACGCTACTTTATGAGTACTGAGATCAGCTCTAAACAAACTTCTGTTCATTCATGCAATCTGGAAATAAATAAGCAAATGACACAGAAGTATCTTTACAACCCAACAATAAGATAGAAAAACAGAAACAGATGGACTACAAGACCCCAGAACTGTAATGCGAATGGAAATTATCAAACACATTCCGTCTAGGGGCGAATGGGAGAGGAACATGTTAGTCAATATTCGTGAGGTTTTCTCTTCTACGTGGACTGTCGAGTGGGGAGCAAGAAAGCACTCATCACCATACACTGGGCTCTTCACTGGCTCCGATACTCCAACGTGAAGCAGAGTAATCCACGCCACAAAATCCACACCGGAATAGCGAACCATTATAGAATATCGCAGAGAAAGGGGGCAAAAAACTTACCGAATTAAAAAGGGCCACAGGACAACTGGCTGCCTCTTCATGAAAAAGAGATGGCAGTCGAAAAATCGCGCTTTTAAAGGGAGACTGGCCGAAAAGCTGAGTATCCCTAAAAACTCAGTTGCAGCTGCAGTAAGATGGATAAAGGAATGGAAACATTGGAGCATTTACTGTCACTTGCCGGGTCAAAATAAGCAGATGTATAAATTCGATAGGAACATACCAGCTACAATCTATTGAGGAAGCCACAAGGCTCTCGCCGAGAACCATACTTTAATTCCTGTCAGGACACATGCACCACAGAATGTCAACGAAATCGATTTAAATTCTGGCAATTGCGAATTAAGAAATAGCGCGTCTCGATTGGCAGCGTCCAATGTCATCCCGGCATAAAAACCAAAACCCATTGCAGGGCGTTTGCCGACGGACCAGTCGCTGACAACGAGTTGCGGCAAACTCTCGAATCGCTGTGCCACAACCCCGAAAAACAGGGATGTTTTTGTGTGCATATGCATCTATATGCTAGAGGGTATCTCCTATTCGGGCACTCTCGACTGGATCCCTCGGCTTGTTCTTTTGTTTTATTTAAGAACCTGTTAAATACTGCAATTAATGCAAATGAAGTATAAAAGAGGTTCTTAAAGTCTTCATTGCCAAAAGCGTATGCATTATATATATAAAGGTCAAACAGTCAACTAACATTTTAAAAATAAATACGATCGTGTATAATAGTATATTCGTAATACTATTCCTAATACAAACTCCTTGCCCCGACCCCATAAGGGACTCGGCTCTAGATTGGCACTGAAAACCTTTGATGTCCTTTGATGTCATTATGTGAAAATACAAAACGTCCCGTAATTCATTATAATCGCAACAGTACAACCAACGTCAACGACGAGCACGGACACGAGCTCGGACACAAGAACGAGCACGCGGATCCAAAGAAATGCCAACTCCAATGCGCCAAATCGACACGTGCCAACACTTAAGGCCCAAAGTGCTGTTTTCCATGTTCTTATTAATGGCTGCAAACAGCGTTAAAGGACATTTTATACAAATACTCGTCCTATAATAACGTAAGACCTCCTCCGCGCAAAGACTGGAGCTGGGCACGAGCCGTTCTTTGTCTGCTTGAATTCTTTCAATTATTAAATATACCCCAATATGAACTCCAAAATGCTTATGCAGGTGTTTATATCGTTGCATTTGTGCACAACACACAAACTCATGTGCTGCTTGAACTATTGAAAATTTAATTGAATTTAATTGAATATGTTAGCTGTCCGATCTTCATGTATATAGAAATCACAGGTTCTAATAGACGGTATTAAAATGTTGTCATTATATATTGACAAAACTCGCCATTTAAAAAGCAATCTCTGATCAACATCGAACCACTATAGCATATAGCTGCCATGGGAAAGATCGGTCGAAAATAAGGTTCTTGTATGTAATATTTTTTGTGAATATTAGATATGCGATTTGTGTGAATGGTATTTACATATTTCTTGTATGTATACATCTCAAATCGAAATATCCCCATCGCCTACATATATATCTTCATACATAGAAGTAATTGTTCTGTCCGACTGACAGATTATCAACACAGCCCAAGCCCTAAGAGCTGGGCATAAGAAAACGGGGGCTTAGAATATAACGTACTATGAAATTCTTTTCTTTTTGACACTCTCCGACTTTTTGGAAAGTCTACATTTCCTTTGTGGAAACAGGGGTCAAAGGTTGAATGGGCGAGATTACGGGTAGAAGCTATATGCAGAGATATTTAAGAAAGAACATTCGAAACGCATTTCACACTTTTCGCAAAATCCAAGCCTCGGTAGACAAATTCGATCGTCCTTAAACTTATTTATAAAGGCCTAGATGATAAAGTATAATAATGTATACGAGCTTAAGGGGCTTGAAAATTGGGTGAAAGTTTTTTCTTTACGACCCAATTGGCTTCAGGATCATTTCCAAAGATTAACGAAGTCAGAGGAGTCTCCAGATGACTAAGAGTTTTGTGTATCTAGTTCTATGTCTTACAAACCCAATCTCAAAGTTGATTTTGATTGATATTTTTGAAATATTACGAGGTATCCAGATCCTCGAATATGATAATAATAGGAGAATAGCTTTTGTAGTTTCCGAGATGATGAGGCCCGCGCCCATCTTAAGTACACATAACCAGATGTTAGCACATGTAAGTATATACATTTTAATTATACCCCTTAAAAGTACAGAAGCCACAAGGCATTTCATGGTCTAAATCTCTTAGGGATACATATTATGCAGAATATGACTTTAAAAGTTGAATTTTTTCGGTATCCAATTCCATGTAGCTTCAGTAATTTGTCACAGCAGTCAAATCTTAAATTCATCTGTACTTTTTTTCGGACTCTTACACGCATGCACACTTATAAATATGTATAATTGGATATGTAAATACGTATGCTAATGTTCATGGGCAAGGCGAGGGTGGCTTCGAAATTGAATTTACAGTTTGCATCTATCCCATCCCTTGCTTCTCTTGGTCAAAGGGTAGATTTTCGTACATTGGTACCTATACAATATTTGGTATGTGCGTGTCTTACATATTTATGTACAAATGTAATCGCCTACTATTTTACATAGACACAATTATTTGCATATACATAACGAGAAAGAAGGGCTGTCTTCGGCACGCCGAAGATTTAATACCCTGCAGACCTGCTCATAGTGCTCTGCCCGTATCTAAGAAGCACAGGGAAATTAGTTAATGCCGAGTATGGTTAAGATATCTTGAAAAACAAAAAAGTTTTCCCTATCACAACTTAATTTTCGACCAATCGTTCCTATGGCAACTTTATGATATAGTAAATAAGATTTTGCATAAATGTAGGGAATACAGTAAAACTAATAAATGCTGAGTTTGGTCAAGATATCTTAATAAACAAAAAACTTGTTCACCTACTTTTCGATTGATCGTTTCTATGGCAGCTATACGATATAGTTGTCCGATCCAACATTTGTATTGCGTGCAACAGAAAGAAGCACTTCTGAAAAGTTTCACAAAGATAGCTTTAAAACTGAGAGACTAGTTCGCATAGAAACAGACAGACGGACATCGACTCGGCTGTTGATACTGATTAAGAATATATATATTTTATGGGGTAGGAGATGTCTCCTTCTATGAGTTACACACTTCACAACAAAATTATAATAATGCAAGGGTATCATCATAGCATCATATAAATCGGTCGAAAAGTAAGTTGTTGTATGGACAATCTTTTTGTTTTTCAAGACATCTTAGCCATACTCCGCATTAACTATTTTCCCTGTGCTTCTTAGATATGGGCAAAGCATAGTTGTTGTTTGCCTTGGTACACAAAGGGTCTAAAAAAACTGAAAAACTTACGCAACAAATTTTGTAAGAAATTCTGTAAATATCGGAGACCCTCCGATTTGCAAAGATATTCTCTACATAAGCGAGAGTTTGAATTTTTTAACAATTTTTCTCTATAACCAATATATACTACATA